ATCATCAGGGAAATGCAAATCAAAACCACAATGAGATATCACTTATCTCCAGTGAGAATGGCCTTTATCAAAAAGTCCCAAAACAATAAATGTTGGGATTTTTTTTTTTAAAAAAAGGGGGGTTTTATTGAGATGGTTTGGAAAACTTTCTTGCGGCAGTGATGTTTCCGCGGGCACAGAAAGATGGGTTGAAGAGGGTGGGAAGGCGTGCCTGGCCAGCTGGAACAGCAGGAAAAGTTCCTGAGGCTGGGAGGAGTTTGGAGAACTGAGCGAAGGTGGGCGTAGCTGATGGCACAAGGCAGGTGACCAGTCACTCAGGACCGGGCTGCCACTCTGGTTTTGGGTGACTCTGAGTCGTGAGGGACTGGGCTAGAGGAAGAGGGCGGTGTGTGGGAAGCTCACGGGATGGAGATGCCACACATAGCAAATTACAGGAAGTCTGCAAAGAGAAATATTGCCTCTGCAGAGGAAGGGGAAGCTGGAAATGAGAAGAGAGAGATCATCGGAGGCCTCATGCAGGGACGGGAAATTAACAAGGCACGTTGGAGGAACAAGGAGCCTGGATCTCAAAACCACTGTCACAAAAACCAGAGTGAAAAAATGTCCTAATACCACTACTAGGCCATCCTTTCCATTTTATTTTTTCTGGTACTTTATAAAGAGTTTTGCCATCCTACCAATGGATGTTGGCATTATCACTGATTCTGTTCTTTTCGAACCTCACATCCGGTCCACTGGTGGATCTTGTTAGTATCACTTTCAGAATAAATGCAGAATTTCATGCTCTCCACGCCCGCCTCCGGCATGTATCTGCCGACATCGTTCACTGGGACAGGTACAGTTCACCTCCTCCTGGTCATCTTGCTTCTGCCTTCCTGTAATTCTGATGAATGGTGAGAAGGACCACGTTAAAACCTAAATCACGCTGTGCCCCTCCTCTGCTCAAAAGCCTCCCATGGCTCCCATCTCTCTCTGATAAAAAGGTTACTGTTAACTATAGTTGCCCTATTGTGCTACTGAACATTAGATCTTATTTCTCCCATGTAACTATATTTTTGTACCCATTAACCATCCCCTCTTTATCCCCCACGCCCCTTCCCAGCCTCTGGTAACCATCATTCTTCTGTCTACCTCCATGAAATCAATTTTTTTTTAAAGAGACAGGGTCTCGTTTTGTTGCCCAGGCTGGAGTGCAATGGTATCATCATATTTCATTGCAGCCTCCAACTGCTGGGCTCAAGTGATCCTCCTGGCTCAGCCTCCCAAGTAGGTGGGACTATAGGCACATGCCACCAAGCCTGTCTAGTTTTTAAGTTATTTATAGAGATGGGGGTCTCACTGTCTCGCCCAGGCTTGTCGCAAACTCCTGGTCTCAAGTGATCCTCCTGCCTCAGCCTCCCAAAGTGTTGGAATTACAGGCGTGAGCCACCCGGCCCAGCTCAGAGTTCAACTTATTTTGAGCTCCCATGTATGAATGAGAATATGTGATATTTGTCTTTCTGTGTCCTGCTTATTTCACTTAACATAACATATTCCAGTCTCATCCACGTTGTTGCAAATGGCAGGATTTTGTTCTTTTTTATGGCTAAACAATATTCCATTGCATATATGTACATTTTCTTTATTCATTCATCTGTGGGTGGACACTTAGGTTGATTCCATATCTGGCATGACACTTGGGATTTTGAAAGGCTTGGCTGTGCTGCTTACTAGCTGTGTGTCCTTGGGCAAGTCACTTAACCTCTCTGAGCCTCAGTTCTTTCTATCTGGATACTGGGAATTATATTCATTTCCTGTGGCTGTTGTAACTTGTTGGCTTAAAACAACAAAAACTTACTATCTTACAGTTCTGGAGGTCACAAGTCCAAAATGGGTCCCACAAGGTTAAAATCAAGGCATTGGCAGGGCTGCATTCCCTTTGGAGTTTCTAGGGGAGAGTCTGTTTTCTTACTTTCATCTTTAAAGGCAGCGATGGTTGATCAAGTCCTTCTCACATCACATCACTCTGACAATGCCTTGCTTGGTTTCATCTTTTGCTTACAAAGACTCTTGTGATTACATCGTTTGCACCTGGATAATTCAGGCTACTATCTCCATCTTGAGGTCATCTGATTAGCAACCTTAATTCCACTTGCAACCTTAACCCCCCCTTTCCACGTAGCATAACAATTTTGCAGGTTCCAGGGATTAGAATGCGGTTATCTTTGGGGGGGTCCCCATATTCTGCTCCCTCAGGAAGGATAGTATCTAATGAGCATCTTCTCTATCACCTGGGAGCCTGCCCCCACCTGCAGCCTGGTCCTTCTGAAGCTTACAGTGTGATGGAACAGGTGGCCTTGAAGAAGCCAATCGCAGAGACACTCACGCAAACCACCTGGGAATCTTGTCCAAAACGCAGATTCTGATGCCGTCGATATGAAGCTGAACCTGAGATTTTGCATTGCCATCAAACTCCCAGGCAGTGCTTACGCTGCTAGCTCCTGGACCACACTTTGAGTAGCAAGGGTCTAGGGTCCTTGAGGTACTTGGTTAAGCACAGTTGGTTGACATTTCAGATTCCTAGGGCTACCCTAACAAAGCACCACGAACTGGACGGCTTAAAACAACAGAAATTTATTTTCTCACAGTTCTGGAGGCCAGAAGTCTGAAATCAAGGTATTGGCAACCCCATTATCTCTCTAAAGGCTAATAGGGTAGAATCTGTTCCATGCCTTTTTCTGAGTGTCTTAGTCCATCTTGTCTTGCTATAAAGGAATATCTGAGGCTGGGTAATTTATAAAGAAAAGAGGTTCATTTGGCTCACGGTCCTGCAGGCTGTACAAGAGACATGGCGCCGGCATCTGATTCGGGTGAGAGCTTCGGGGAGCTTCCAATTAAGGTGGAAGGCAAAGAGGGACCAAGTGCGTCACATGGCGAGAGCGGGAGCAAGAGAAGGAGGAGGGAGTGTCGGACTTTTTTCAACAACCAGCTCTTGCGTGAACTAATGGAGAGAACTTGCTCACGACTGCAGTGAGGGCACCAAGACATTCGTGAGGGATCCACCCTCACGATCCAAACATCTCTCTCCAACACTGGGGATCAAAGTTCAACATGAGATTTGGAGGGGCCAGACATCCAAACCGTATCATGTAGCTTTTGGTGTTGCTGGAAAGCCTTGGCATTCCTTGGCTTGTAGACTCATCACTCCATCTCCGCTTCCATTGTGACGTGGTGTTCTCCGGGTGCCTGTCTCTTTGTCTCTTCTCATAAGGACGCAAGTTATACTGGATGAAGAGTTCACCCTACTCCAGGACTACACAATCTTAACTTATATCTTAATTACATCTATGAAGACTCTATTTCCAAATAAGATTACATTCGCAGGTACCAGGGTTTAGGGCATCGACGTATCTTCTGGTGGGGGACACGATTCACCCCACAGCGGTCACCTCCACTGGTTTATGCTGGGTTCCCTTGCACCTCACTCTGATGCTCTGATCTTGTCCAAACTCTCCCTTCTGTGCTGCCTAGGTTTGAACGAGTGTGCTTACACAACCACATGCCCGGCTTATGCAACTTGCACCGCCACCACGGACAGTTTCTACTGCACTTGCAAAAGAGGCTTCCGGGCTAGCAATGGACAAATACAATTCAAAGATCCAGGAGTAAAATGCAATGGTGAGTCCACAAACCCCTCAAAACCCTAGAGCATTTGGTAGGAAAATCAGGTGAAAGCTGGCTGGGTAGTGGATGTAAGTACTGCTCCCCTTTCCTCCAAACATGAATCCTTTCCTTCCCTTTCCTTTCCTTCCCTTCCCTTCCCTTCCCTTTCTTTCCCTTCCTTCCTTCCTTCCTTCCTTCCTTCCTTCCTTCCTTCCTTCCTTCCTCTCTCCCTCCAATCCCCCTCCTCACTCTTTCTGATTATGAAATATGGTGGTTGCGCTTCCTCACAATATGGTTGCTGGGTTCTAAGGATGAGCGTCTCAAGAGAACAAGGTGGAAGTACGTGATATTTTTATGACCTAGCACGTATGTTTTTGACCTAGTGTCCCTTCCATCATAGTCACGAGCATGCTCAGATTCGAGAGCAGAGGGGACATATATCCCACCACTTGGTGAAAGGAGTGCCAAAGTCATGTTTAAGGGAAGAGCATGTGGGATGGGAGATACCATTTCAACCCCTTTTGGCAAATACAATCTGTTACCCGGGATGAGGTACATTTGTAACTCCAGTTCTTTCTCTGTCCAGATATTGATGAATGCTCTCAAAGCCCCCGAGTATGTGGTCCTCACTCAGTCTGTGAAAATATGAAGGGGAAATACAAATGCAGCTGTTTGCCTGGTTTCTCTTCTCCCACTGGAAATGGCTGGATCCCGGGAAAGCCAGGCCATTTTGCCTGTACAGGTAATGCTCTCTGGCCTTCTGGCTTGGGTCTTTAGTGGACATCTATGATTGGGTTGAGTTCCTTTGTTTCTAAATTTACACTCCCAATCTCTTGTCCACTCACTCTTCTCTGCTCCTTCTCAGACATCGACGAGTGCCTCACCAGTGGGGTCTGCCCTGAGCATTCTCACTGTGCCAACTCCATGGGAAGCTACAGTTGCAGCTGCCAAGTTGGATTCATCTCTAGCAAGTCCACCTGTGAAGGTATAAAGGACAAGATCTTCGTTATTTACCTACTTAATTAATTAAGGATCACATCACTAGAAGACCATAGGAGGAAGGGATTTTATCATGTTATTTTATTTGATTTTATGATTGTTTGAGACAGGATTTCACTCTACTGCCCAGGGTAGATGCAGTGGCATCATCATAGCTCACAGCAACCTCAAATGCCTGAGCTCCAGCCATCCTCCTGCCTTAGCCTCATGAGTAGCTGGGACTATGGGCATGTCAACCATGCCAGGCTACTTTTTCTATTTTTTGTAGAGACAGGGTCTTGCTATGTTGCCCAGGTTGGTCTCAAACTCTTGGCCTCAAGCAATCCTCCTGTCTCGGCCTCCCAAAGTGCTAGGGTTACTGGCATAAGCCACTATGTCTTGTCTGAATTTTCTCATTTTAGGGAGAAAACTGGGGCTCAAGGAGATGAAGTAGCTTTCCCAAGTGTATGCAAGTATTACGTGGAAGAGCTGGGACTTGAATTCTTGTTGTGTGCCTACTACGAATCAAACACTGGGTCAGGCTGGACTTGAGTATAACAGAAAGCTCTTGTTACTAAGCAAATCAATGGGCTTGTTGTCCAACGTGCATAGAAGCCGATACTATGGCACCAGCCTCTCAGAAAAGAAAAGTTTTATTGCAAGTTGACTGGTGACTGGCAAGGAGAGAGGAGGAAATGCTCAGATCTGTCTGCTGGACCTGGGGCTGCCTTGGTTTTAGAAGCATAGGTTATTGAGGCGTGATCTGATTGGATCTTTCAATGTAATGCCAGGAAGCATGATCTGATTGGGTCATGCCATGGGATGATGCAAGGGCTCGATCTTATTGGACCCTGGATCCTGCCATGTGGTGTCCCCCTCTGAAGTCAGTCCCCGCTCCTCGGTCTGAGCACTTACGTTCCGCCCACCATTGCATGCTTGGTTCAGCTGGGGGTGACGTTTCAACTGGGGGGTCCACGGCAACTGCAAAACAACTCATAATTTTATTACATGAACAAAGACCCTATTTCCAAATACTAATACATTCACAGGTACCAGGGTTTAGGACTTCAGCTAACTTTGTTAGTTCGTTCGTTCCTTCCTTCCTTCATTCATTTTTCCATTACTTTTCCTTCCTCTCTCCCTCCCCCCTCTCTTTCTTGCCCCCGTTTCTTTTTCTGATTATGAAAATATAAAAGTTCACTGTAAAAGTTCAAGGATGTGAGAGGTGAGAGGTAGGGGTCTAGTTTCAGTCTTCTGCATGTAGCTATCCAGTTTTCCCAGCACCACTTATTGAAAAGAGCTTCTTTTCCCCAGTGTATGTTTTTGTCAGCTTTGTCAAAGATTAGATTACCATATGCAGATGGTTTCATCTCTGGATTCTCAGTCCTGTTCCAGAGGTC